TGTCTAGCGACTGGTTTCGATGTGTCCTTGTCATTCCTTTCCACGTCTCGAAGGTGTTCTCGGAATCGGTCATAAAGAAATTTAAGTTGAATGTCGGTGGTAATGCAGGATTACCAAGCTTTGCTTTACTACGCTGGTGATCGGCATTGCAATGGGCAGCTACTGCAGAATAAAAAAATTGCAAGTTTCATCTCTTGTAATATACAGAATTTATCACTCATGTTTCTCTCACAGTACACTAAGATGACTCGCTTTTAGAATTCGGATTCTTTATAATCAATTGGCCTAATAGCTATCACCCTGACTCATACTGGAGTTAAGGACCATTGTTCCCTCCTACATGTTATCAACTTTCAGAGCGAAGGGCTAACGATCGAAACGTCAGCTTTTTAACTCTTTACGGGGGCCAATTTACAATTTCAACTTAGTTGATATAACCAAATTACTTAAAAAGAAAGTGTCAGGCAAAAGGGGATATCAGTAAAAGTAGAAGTGAGAACACTCATAAATCAGCCTTGAAGAGAAATTGAGCAATTTATTTTACGTTGAACAGAATGTACTTGTGTTCGTGATTTACAGGGAGTGTTGAGGGTGCGAAAACGAGTCACACTGGTGGTCCTAACAGTCACTGTCATTTTTGCAAGATCTTGAGGAGCAGAGTCAGTGGAATATGCCTTAAGGAATCTTGCTAGCCTAAACATCAACTTGTGCATATTGTCATAGTTGACATGATGCTGCTGTTCAATTTCGCTGTCAACCCTTACGTGTATGCCCCCTGATGAACCATCAGTTCAGGCAAAAAATCAGGGGAGCATTTTGCTGCCTAAGCGCTGCTGTAACACCCAGGCCAACTGAAATATCAAAACTACCATGAAAAACACGCGGGTGTAGATATTAAGTTTTAGCCATTAACATCTTGACTTCGTCGAACAGAATTTCAATCATATCAAGTTATGATAAGGAGGAGAGGAGAGATTGTTATTTTGAAAAGTGAACGAAAGGAGCCGGCTTCATACAGTGGTGGCTATTTATTGTGAATTACTTACACTTGCTAAGTGACTTGTGAAATTTACGTCTGCATAGATGTCAGCCCGAAGATTAAGTGAGCTCCATTGAATAGTTTGACTCATTTTACCGATATTGTATTCTTAAAAGGGTCAGTAATAGTGGTATAGCCTTAATTTAACCAAACCACTGTACGAACACTGACAGAGTTCGCTGATTGAGCTACGTCACATACATGAGCAACAACTATCATAGTAGTAGAAGTTTGGTCAAAAGATATCAATTAATTTGAAAATCGATATGCGATATTCCTTCGGCATGAGAGTTAAGAAAACTTTAGAACGAATCACTATGGCATCTAACAAGTTTTTAGGACATGATAATCATAGTCTTCTTCATCAAGTTACACCTAGAGTACATTTTTGCGTTGCTTTAGAATCAAACTGGGATTGGAAGGAACAAGAGAGAAAGTAACCGACAAAACCAAGAATTGCCAGAACGAATGCTGTGCTAAATATGGATCAGTGGAGCTCTGACTGTTATTCTCGTTGGCATGACGTCATTTTCCTTCAAAGAAAAATTAGACTGAGATGATTACATGGGTGCCAATGTTGTTGATTGGTTGTTAAGCTGAGTCATCTGTGGTTTTCATTGCCATGAATCCGTGGAATTGTGGGATTATCACAGATCAACATCCGTTTTATCTTCGCTTTGAACTGACTATTCATAGGTTTTTGGTACGCTTGGGGAATGATCAATTACAATTACACTCCAATCCCTTAAGTTACAAAAGGGAGCAGTTCAAGATAACCCAAAAGAAGGTTTGTTTCAGAAAGCGTTATCGAAATTGACATGTGTTACGTTTTTGTCAAGTTTTGTACAATCTTTCTCCTTCGCTGCTGGCAAATATATATATATTATGAGACGTTTTGTTGTGTTGTATCGCTGAGTATTTTTAAGAGTTGTGCCGTATTTTGACGAGCCCGTAGGGCGAGTCAAAATACAAATAACGAGTAAAAATACTCAGCGATACTACACAACAAAACGTCTAATAAGTTATTTATTATCCAACACGCCAAACTGTTATTTCAGTGCGGGCGAATTTCGCGGATATTTATTTACGGGGAGTGCGTGACAGAAGTATGCGAAGCGGAACGGAATTGGCGCGTTGTTGTGTTGCTGTTTCTATTTTCTTCATTAAATGAAGAAATTTTCTGGTCGTCAAGCTGTTTTTCTTCGTTCGATTCATCTAATGAACTTGGATCTATATTTGCCAGCCATTCTGACTCTTCGTCGTCGGAAATATGATTCAAATTGTCCGCCATTTGTTTTTTTTTT